AGTTAGTTTTATTTATAAAGTCAGGTCTAAAGTGCCAGTACTTTCATTCTGCACTTGAATTCACTTGATTTGAATTGATTTTTTCTATTTTACTGTATACTTTATCTTTTAAATGTTTTTTTGTCTCTTGTCTTATTTTGCTGTTATAGTCCATCAGTGAGCACTTTAATCAACTTGTCTGTACATTAAAAAAATAAATAAAAAGTTGTTTTATTCTGTTGTATTTTGTATTTTGTCACTGACTTGTTTCTATGCTTCAGCTTCGGCTTTTCCACTTCTTGGTAATTTTTCACCTCTGCATAAAAAGCATTTTGAATAACCTCTGTGTTTGATAAGGTGCTTCTTAAATAAGCTCGTTTGCCACTGCAGACAGACCTTGAGTTTAGCACTGAAAAAAGGGGAGCTTTTCAGTGCTGAATGACTAGAACCACATCTCAGACACATGCTGCCCTTAATAAATATACTGTTGTACTGCAGCTCTTCCGTACTGCAGAGTGATTTATTGAGTTCCAAAAAGTAGGTCATTTAACATTCATTCTCCAAGCAGGAGGAAAAACTCAAGAGAGATGTAGGGAGGAGTGAGGAGCACTACTGTAAAGAAAAGACCAGAAGGAGCTTCAGAGAGACGAAAGGTACATTTTAATGAGTCAAACCAGCTTTGTGAGGTTTCATTCACCAGCACATGGCAAATCTCCCTTTACCTCCCCTAACATACTCACATCTTGACAACCCTCCTCTTTTCCTGCAGCACCACAAGACTGAGGCATTGCAGCCATCTCAACATCTTCTTCAGCCAGGAGGAGGGCATCCCCATCAATAAGTCTAGAGGGCCTGAAAACATCAACCTGCGAATGTTTAAGGTTGTAGCTTCTTTTTTGACATGTTTCCTGAGAATGAAATAAGTTTCCACAATTAGAGAGGCATCCACTATAGCTGCAGCACTATAGGCTCCTGGTATATGACTGCCTGGACCTGTTACACTTCTTTAAGGAGGGCAAAACAAAAGAAACACCTTTCAACTCCCTCTATGACCTTTATAATAAGCATGAAGTAGATGTATCACCTTTCTGACAATGTAAAACAGATTTTGTAGAAGTAGAATTGATGGCAGATATGTTGGACTGCATTGCACTAGATTTCACAGGTATACCTGATAAAGTGGCTATTCAGTGTATTTACAGTACAAGTCCAATTCCAGCAACCATCACTCCTGTGTTCCAGTGTCACTGTGTCTTATCTATTTCAAGTCAGTCATGTTTAAAGTCTAATTGATCATTAAAAAAAGCCATTTTCAATTATGTTACCACAGCTGAAAACTGTTGCACTGAGTAAATATGCAATAAAATTGACTGGCTGTGTTTATGGACTATCAGTCTTTGTAAGAACAGTTATAGTCTCTAAAGTGTAAAAAGGGGAAAGAAAAACAAACATCCTCTGAAAATTGTCAGAGCATTCATGATCTAAAAAAAAATGCAAGGAAATTGCCAAATGCTGAAGGTTTCAAACAACAATGTGAACTACTGTCTTCGTAGAACGGCACAAATGGTTCTAACCAGAAAAGAAACAGAAATAGGAGGAAAATGGCTCTTGTCTGAGCAAGAGGACAACTACATAGGAGTCTCACAGGTCTCGATCTGGCAGAGTCATTAACTGGTATCCACGAAACAACAGTGAAAATAAATTTCTAGGATGTGGGCCTTCTAGGCAGAGTCGTAAAGAAAAAGCTAAATATTAGACTGGTCGAGACTATACCTGTAGTCCAGCGGTAGGCTTAATTGACATAATGCAAACTCTTTTAAATGTCAAGGTCCCGCACTCCACATTTAAGATGTGCAAAAGAACACGGAAATTGAACAGAGGAAGACTGGAATAGTGCTATGGGCGAACAAATGTAGTTTAAGGTGCTTAGATCAGAAAGAAAACATTTTTGAGATGTAGAACAGTTGAAAAGATGCTGGATGAGTTCTTGATACCATCTTTGAAGAGTGTTACTGTTTGAAGGTGCTTCAGTTGGGCTGAAGTGGGAGATTCGTGCAAGACAAATTCATCATCAATACTGCAGCACCATGATGTGTGTGAATGGCGGTCAAATGTTCTACTGCAGGTTTGAAAAGGACTTGACACCCCACACCTGCATCGACCATCTCCCTCCTCAGCCATCAACACCTCCTGCAGCCCTGCCCCCCCTGGGCAACTTCACATCCAGCACCCGTACCATCAGCATCGGCGCCCCCCAGGGATGTGTTCTCTCCCCACTGCTCTTGTCCCAGTACACCAATGACTGCACCTTCTCCTCACACCCCTCTGTGAAGCTCCTGGAGTTCGCAGGCGATACCACTGTTATTGGGCTCATCCAGGACGGTGATGAGTCTGCTGACAGAGAGGAGCCGGAGCAGCTGGCTGTCTGGTACAGTCACAACAACGTGGAGCTTAACACACTCAAAACAGTGGAGATGACAGTGGACTTTAGGAGGAACCCCCCTGCATTCCCCCTCCCCTCACCATCCTGAGCAGCACTGTGGCCACTGTGGAGTCCTTCAGATTCCTGGGCATGACCATCTCCCAGGACCTGAGATGGGAGACCCACATAGACTCTGTGATGAAAAAGGCCCAACAGAGACTGTACTTCCTCCGCCAGCTGAGGAAGTTCAACCTGCCACCAGGAGCTGCTGAAACAGTTCTACTCAGCAGTCACTGAGTCTGTCCTATGCTCATCTTTAACTGTCTGGTTCGGTTCTGCTACCAAATCAGACATGAGGAGACTGCAACAGACAGTCAGGACTGCTGAGAGGATCATCGGTGCCCCCCTGCCCCCCCTCCAGAACCTGTACTCCTCCAGAGTGAGGAAAAGGGCAGGAAAAATCCTCATGGACCCCTTCCACCCAGGTCATCACCTCTTTGACCTGCTACCCTCCAGCACTTCAGATCTCTAAGCACCAGAACATCCCGGCACCGAAGCAGCTTCTTCCCTCAGCCTATATCCCTCATGAACAGTCAGTAAACGACTCCTGTTGCACTCCTCTGTGCAACATCATTACATGTGCAATTCCTCAACTTCAGGTGCAATATTGTATTGTAATTTAAATCTGTTTCCTAATTTATTACTTGGCTAATTTCTCTTCCCATAGTACTTATTATTTATGTAGTACTTTTATACTTTTGATTTCTATATTTATTCTTGTCTTGTTATTGTTGCGTATCAGTCTCATTCACCACGGCAAATTCCTTGTGTGTGCAAGCTCACTTGGCAACAAAAAAGCTTCTGATTCTTCTGATTCTGAAATGAAACCAGTTTCCTCCGACAATGTAACAATGAGTTAAAGCACGAAACTATGAGATTTGTCAAGGTAACCTCAACAAATGCTAGAATGCCAAAGGTATGAAAGGCGGTGACTGCAGCGATTCTTTGACACAAGAAAAGTTTTAAAAGATACAATGATTCTTTCAAGTGAAACAATTTCAAGCATCTTGACAATATTTCCTATTCACACTGCACCACATTTGATGAATAAAAGAATAAGTTGACTGAAAAACGTAAAATATTGTCTGTGACCCCAAACTTTTGAATGTACTTTTATCTCTTGTGTATGTCATATTTGTCGTTTTCGAAGCGCAAGCTGAACAAACTGAAGTTAATCGGATCACAACACTGAATAAACAGCACTGGAATCTGAAAATAAAGGACAGCAATATGACATTGAAAGGAGTATTTTAATGCAGAAAGGATGTCAAGACATCATAGAGAGTACACGTATTTAATCCACAACATTTTATTTCTAATGAATTATTCATTTAATACATACATAAGTTGGCCACTTAGATGATATCTATTGTAAGTTCACCTTTAGGC